CTTCATTTTATATTTTAGTTTCAATTAACTATTTGCTATTTGTTACATATATATTTAATTCGAAGAAAATATATACAATAATTACATTTCGTTCAGTACTTAATTACCTTCCACATGTACGCTTGAAATGATTATATTGAAACTATGGATTAAAACTTAAAAACTCGATTTAAAAAAAAGTGCTCACTCTTCGATTTTAATATTTATTGCAAAATGGTCCTGAAATGTTCCAAAACCAATTCCAGAAGGAAAATCAGAGGTGCAGGAAAGTCAGGGTTGAATTCAATCGAGGACCACCGTAATTTTTTAATTATTTTGAGAAAAAACTGATTCTTAATTTATAAATAGTCTTAAAAATAAAAAATTATCTGGAATTTTTTAGATGAATTGTCAGATAAATTTATCTATATTATCTAGATTAATTTAAATGTAATCATCTTTATCTTATCTAAGATAAATTTCCAAATTTTCATCTTATCTTTATCTAGCTAATTTTAAAATCATCTATGCACAACACTGTGTTGAGTAATTCTTTTTTTCTCTTTGTTTTGTTAATTTTCGCCGCTGGGCGCCTCTCAGTTTATTAACACTCATTTGTGATAAAATTAATAATATAAAATTTTAAATCAAGTCTATTTTCAGAACTCTACGGACGGCTCAGAACAGAACGGATCTGAAATATCGCGGGAGAGTACAAGGAGAGAAATAACCACGGCAAAACTCCGCGCGGGGACTCACTAGAAGGCGATGCGAGGTAGTGCCACGGAACAGCGCGGCGAGCGCCCAGGCAAAGGCGCGGGAATCAATCGTCGAATCTATGTACTTCCAAACATAGACTTTCCGCCTTGAGCTGTAGGGAGTTTTGCTCTGGATCTTCGAGAGTTTCCGTCGTAATATGACGGAAACTCCCGAAGCTGCAGAAGGAAATTCTCGAAGCTGCAGAGCAAAACTCCCTACAGCTCAAGGCGGAAAGTCTGTATTTCGAGTACATAGATTCGACGTACGATTCCGCGCTTTTGCCTGGCGCTTGCCGCGCCATTCCGTGGCATTACCTCGCATCGCCTTCTAGCGAGTCGCCGCGCGGAGTTTTGCCGTGGTTTTTCTCTCCGTGTAGACAGTAGAGCGTAGAGCCAGGAGGCGGATGCGTATTTGTGTATACCGCAGGCGCCCCTTCCGTCGTGGCGCCCTAGGCACACGCCTAGCGTGCCTATGCTATAAACCGCCACTGACTAGACAGACTGTAATGGAAAGTATGCCTCGGAGGTGCCAGTCTATTATAGACGCAGCTAGTGACTGGACTCATTAATATAATTGCATTTTGACCATAAACCTACTAATATAATCAATATAAATTTAAGGCTAATAAGCCATTTTTCTTTGAGATAGGTCTGCCACGCTTTTACTATATAGACAGACTGTATATAAAAAATATACCCGTGTAAACTCAACGTTTTACCAGATCAAGTCGTTAATGTTTTTTATATAGCCATTTATCGTATTTATTTTATATTAGCTTTTTACAATTGTTATAAATTATATAGCAATTTTTAAGAAAAAATAATTAACGTTTTTGCATGTGAAATTATGCAATAAGTCTGAATAAAAAGAACAACTGAGTATCATTTTTTCATATATTTTCAAATTTTCGTATAATAATAATAATACATTATTTGTCCTTCATACTCTACGTTATCTCTGACCATAGATTAAACTACGATCACGATTTTGATTGGGAAGGAGCCTTAATTCTAGATATCGAAAAGAATTATTTTAGAGATGTTACATATTAAACAATAAAATATAAGCATAAACTCCCGAAAAGACACGGATAATCTGGACGACTCTTACTGTTATTTACTGAAAAAGTATCAAATAAATAAATAAATAAATATCGTTACGATGCCCTAAAAGTCTGTTTTACCATTATTGTAACACGCGTTCAACAATATCAGACAAATATGTAAAGGTGCTCCTATTTTCGCATATTTTATTGTAAGTAAAAAATTCAATCTTAATCATCTTATAAATAAGCGAATGACGTAATTGACAATTTACTTTTATATTCACCAAGCACGTGTTTGACTTCTTTTTCTTCGAAGAGTTTCTCAGTTATCGCAACATGAACTTGATGAAAGTGTTTGTCATGTTCCTCACTGAATTTACTCAAATTTGGTGGAAAAAATTTAAA